TTTCCCACACTTTAGCTCTCTCTTTTTTTTTTTTTTTGATTTTTTTCCGGTCCCAGGAATCAAACTCACGACCTTGTGCTCGCCAGGCAGGCACTGTGCCACTGAGCTAAATCCCCAGCCCCAACAACACTTTATCTCTTTATTTACTTATTTTTAACAAATAATATAAAAACATGCTAAAATGAAAATATAATTATCTAATGAGTAAAGAAACTGGCATACTATACGAACATTATTATGCAAAGTGAAGGAAAAGGAAACATTTCAAGTGTCTCTTTATCCAAGATTATAAAAAGCCCTTAATTCTGAATACTCATCTTATTATTCACCATGCAGTAGAACATACTGGGAGATACTATTCATTATTAGAAAACAGAACTGGGGATTGCAGCACAGCAGTACAGGTGTCTGCCTAGCATGCATGAAGCCCTGGACTCAACCCTCATACTGGAATAATAAAAGCAAACAAAATGCCAGAAAACTTCTTTTCATATGACAACATGTACAGGTCAACTAATCAAGCATGAATTATCAACTTTGTCCTATGCACTGCTGATTCCCTTACCCTTCTAGCTGAATCTTGTCACATGATGCTGTGCCTAGGAATTTGCATTTTTGTTTACTCTTTTAAAAACTATCTCTTAACTCCCCCACGCTTCTATTGATCTACCTAGTCATGTCTTTCAAAACTACTTAGCATTTGAGAATTCCCTACCTTTTCAAAAAGTGCACCTGTCCTAAGATTGAATCCTCCCAAGGTTTAATCACTTCCTTCAATTTAAGTTATACATTGGAAGGTGTGTTACAAGACATATGGCAACAATTTAAGAGCATACTAGTGACTTTGTTGTGACTTTTCTTTCTGGCCAGTAGAGCACAGAAAATAGGAAAACACTAATAGATTATTACATTATTGGGCCATAATTTAGGAAGTGCTTCTCAAGAGCTTCTAAGATGTTTGAGATTTCTCAGTGAAAATTTAGTCTTCTGTATGCTAATAATATACTCAGAGGCTGGGTAACCCTGGTGGCTTCTGGATAGCATATAACTGACATGTACAAAGACTAAGAAGTGTTTAAAAGGTAAAATTTTAAAAACAATTTCATTCATAGCTATCCAGTGGGTTGAAATACCGAGTCTTTCCACTCGATCTGTGAAAAGGGAAAAGAGAACTGACAATGACTCAATCATCAGAGACAAGGAGTGAAATTAAATTTGTACAAAACAAAACCTGTTTCACAAACCCCTAACCTATGCTTTAAACAAAACTTTAGTTTTGGTTATCACTGAGATGTATAAATGGTTTTAGATCTCCAGACTGAATATTCAAGGTCCATGCAGTTCTTCTACCATACACTGAAATATGCACAAAAGTTAACCGTTGTTCTGAGTTTTATGATTCATTCCAGAAACTAGAACAAAGAAACAGGAGGATAGGTTGTGAGAATGTCTCTGCGGCCACGGTGGGTAAAAGAATGTGAGACTGGAACACAAATTTAACTAGCATAAGGTCTAAGAGTTCTAGTAGAACTGCACAAGCACACCTGTGAATTCACACATTAACTTTAGATCGTGTCAGAATTCAATGAAATTATTAGAGACATAGTTCCTGTATCCAGAACCGAAGAGCTTGTTGTAGGCATAGAAAGAAACCACAGTACACATCTGCTGGAAGAAGTGTTGTGGATAAAATCAGTGCTATTTATCTCCCCCTGTGTGTGGCAATTTACAGTGTCCATGCAGGCTTCATGGCAACTCACCAGAGTTCAGGCTAAGCACACCATCACTCTACAACTTTTCTGAGTCTCCCCAAAAACCTGTGTTCCTCAGAGTGTGCTCTTTAAGCAGCTAGAACAAACTTCATACAATCAAACGTCTGGCCATGAAGTCATACATACTCGGTGCTGCAGAAACCTAGTAAACTTTTCACAGAACTTACATAAGCTGATGGAGGCTTTCTTTGCTATCTACCACTGACATTTGTATTTATGGAGTTGAATGAGTTCTGCACCATAATTCAGTCTCCCTGACCAATACAAGTAATGCACACAGACTGAGAATAAGGACATAAGAAAAATTAAGGAACTAAAATGTTCCAGCGGAGCCCACTATAAGAATCCAGTTCTCTATCTGAAGACACAAGTGCACCTTTAGTCCCATTTTAGCTGTGTGAAATGAGAATGTGTTCAATTTCTCTATCAGGTGATTTACCAAGAACTACTATGTGAAATACAATTGGGGCTCATGAGGTCATTATGAATGTAGTATATAATGTGTCCTACACATAGGAAGTGCATACTTTCTAAGTGTATGTCAATAGAGTATGTACATAGGCTTGGAACTTAAAGTGCTTTCAGGAAGAATAATTCCAGTGTAGAAAGGCAGATGATGATCCAAGGTTAAAGTAATAAGAAAGGTTCCCATAATCAGCATAAATTAATCTAGAAGTGGAAGTGTTTTCACTTTAACCTAGTGCATGCTTGGTGTCCTGTGTTCTAACTATTCAGCCCTGTGTCTTTTCATTGAAAATTTCCATCCTATGCCCCTGTCCTGGTGATATGATCCAAACAATATGCCCAGAGTGGTGCACCTCCTTATAATTAAAAACAATCAAAACAAAACAAAGAAAAAACCCAGAGTATTTTCTCTTTTCCAAACAGTATTATACTGTTCTCATAATCTGGTTCCTCTGGGAACATTGATTACTATAATTCAAAACAAGAAACAATCTGGTAAGTGTCACATTCTACAGAGGACTGTAAGAAGAGTTAACAAATGAATCTACAGGTGCTACATGAGTTGGAAAGAGACATCTTCATCACCCACAGGTAAATAAAGACAAAATGTATTGAAAAGGCACAGAACATACCAGATTAACCAAACATCATGGCTAAGCCTTAGATTCTTTAAACCTGCTCAACAGTCACACCTTGATCTGCCTTTGGGGAAACTTATGTAACCCAAAGCCAAATTCAAAACAAAACACTAAATACCTCCTGGAGTTTATTGAATGCAGTACACTGTAAAATCACTGCTTATTCACCCATGGTGTCCTATTTCTGACAGAGAAATGACTCATTACTGCTACCCACCACCATGAGGAAGCGTTATACTATGTACCACTAGTGTGAAAAATGATTAAATTTCAAAATAAAACGTAAGATTTGCACTAAATAACTTTTCTTTTTCTCTTCATTACTAGAGACTTAACTCCGGGCCTTATGCACATTACACAAGTTAGTTTGGAGCAGAGGTTTGCCCCAAACTATTTATTTCATATTGAACAAGGGTCTTTCTAGTTATCCAGACTGGGCTTGGTAATTTAACGCTCATGTCCAAGTTTCCCAAGTAGCTGGAATTAAAGGTGTGCAGCACCCTCACTCAGTGATGTTTACCAAAGCACTGAAATCTTGGGAAATTATGGTTATTTAAGCACCCCAGTCTTAAACCAGCAAGGTGGCACATGTCTCTGTTCCCAATAATCAAAGAGGTAGAAACTATCGAAATTTATTCCAAGCCTAGGACCTTTGATCCAATCTCAGAACAAGCCAGCAAACAACCCTTCATTGATTAGCACACTAAGAACAATGTGACTTCTACAGAAGTTTACTGTTGTAATTGCTGATTTTTGCCATCCCGCAAAATACTCTGATCTCCCTTTTCCTTTTTACTACCCTTTGCTCTTGGGTATTTAAAATGCCCTCTTATTCTATTTATTCATATGCCTGCAGACCTTAACTGTGCAAATTTACCCTATTTCAGTACTTGTTTTATATAAGTATCTCATTCAGTGTTTCAATTTTTAAAACAATGTCTAAATATAGTCCACAGGCTACAAAGGAATTAGTTCAGAAATGACGCCCCGTCCCTTTCCAATCATACCAATACCGTACGTACATGTCCCTGTAGATGCCCCAGTTCAATGCATATTTCAGTGTGGGTTTAATAGGTAGCCACTTCAGGAAGTTGTCCTTAGCAGGAACACTTTGCCCTCCCTTGGTAATACATTAACATCACTTCCACATTTCTCAGCATTCTAAACTCAAAGGAAACTCTCACTTAAATAGCCTAATTATGAGGAATATTTTACTTAGTTACCTTACAAATAAAGCACTTAGGTAAGGTCGGGACTAACACAGAGTTGGGAAATTAGCCATTTTGATAAGAATTAAAATGTGCATAGACAATTACCTAGGACTTTGGACGAAGAGTAAATTTTCTGCACAACAGGGAATGCAGCCCCTTCCCTACTAAAAGCAGTACAGCAACTCCCTACTAAGCTTCTGAGTTTCCAGGAACTTAAAATACAAAACATCCCGTGTTTCTCTAAAAATCTCAGTCTCGTTTTAACACTGCATGCTAAGGAAATGAGTTAGAGAGCCAGAGTTCAAAGTGGTTGTTTTAAATCCACGGGGCCCTCTGTGATAGGGGGCCACTAAACAACTGAGCATTCACTGTGCTCTGCTTATCTACAATTAGATAAACCGCCACTCACTCGGGACACTTCTGGAAATCACGGAGCTAGTCGTCTTACTATTTCCAATAAAATCTCTAACAACCTTTTTTTTGGTTCGCGACCGAATTCTTCAATTTTGTGAGACCAAAAGCTCTGTTCATGCAGTAACATCACTACCAGTAGAGGGCTAACCTAAAAAATTAAAGTGCTGAGTATTTTATTGCTGAATATGAAACTCCGGGTTCCCCCAAAGCTCCTGCTCTCTCCACAACTGTAGGAATAAAGTCTGCCTGTGGCCGACCAAAAAGGTATTCCAGAGTATCAGGGTCACAGTACTGTGTCTATAGGTTGGGGACCCATAACTGTTACTGCCTGAGCAAAGGGGGAAAAAGTTTCAGATGATGATGCAGGACCAAAGAATAGCAAGATCTCGGTGCCCGGAGCTAAGCAGGGAGGCTGTAGACTGCCACAGCTGTTTCTGACCACTTCCGTCCGGAACGCACCTTATTCCACCCCATCCCCACCTCCCGTCCCATAACGTCACCATTGCGTGGCTTGAAGGTCTCCCAGGATCCTTCCAATGTAGCTCGCTGCCAGTAGAAGTTACAGAAAAAGGCGATCTAATCAGCTGGGTCCTCTCTGGAACGCACTCACAGGTTACACTCTAGCGCCATGACACAGGAAGTGCCCGCCTCCCTCGGCCCACCTGATTGGGTAGTTCAGACAGCCCGCTCCTTCAGCGCTGATTGGCTCCTGCTCTATTGCCTGACAGCTGAGCTGACAGTGACAAGAGAAAACAAACCTCCTTCTACCAGGGGTGGAGCTCAAATGATACATTTTAACCCAGGAAATTCTGGAACAGTCTGTCTCCCACGATATCACTATCGGGCTTTGCTCCTGGCTTTTTAAAGCTCCTGCGATTTTGTTAATGAACTCAGGGGAATCTTCCTGAAATGGTTCACAGATGTGCTCAGAAGGTTCCAGGGTCACTATCCTTGGAAGAATCGCTCCCCTGATGTCAAAAAATATCATGAGTCTAGCCAGTCCAGGACAAAATAGAATAGAGGGAGGGTTTGCTGTTGGGAATGAGGCAGTTGGTTTCATTGGCAAGATTTTCACATAGTCTCTCAATCTACTCATTTTTATTTTTATTTTTTTGGTGGGAAGTACCGGGAATTGAACGCAGGACCTTCCGCTTGCCAGGCAGGCGCTTATACTACTGAGCTATATCCCTAGCAATCTACTCATTTTTATTCAAGAAAATAAATATATCCTACTCAAGAGGAATACAATTATTGTGTAAATGAAGAAATTAGGGTTGAATGATAGCAACATTCTGCAAAAGAGTAAAGATATTCCGATTCCCTCAGAGAAGCTGCATACTTTATCCAGGGTCATAAAAAATAACTGAATTCTGAAGATAAATGTTTTTAAGCATGAAGGCAGGAAACATTGCTTGTTTTATTGATTTTTTAAATAGCTCACTGTTGAAATATTGAATCATTTCAATATTTTAACTTTATATATGGCAGGTTTTTGAACGTCTTTATGAATTGTATAATTTCTCAAGTGGGATCCTCAGAATTTTCCACACCCATGATTATGGCATATTTTTACCCCTTTTCTTTCCCTATTCTATTTTTCATTCTTGATATTATTGAGCTTACTTAGCTCGTGTTATGGAATATAATGTTTGCATTTACTGTGGTTATTAGTTTCCTGTAAATGGCAAAACTTTATTCTACTTATTTATCGTTTCCCTCCTCCTCACCCCTCGCCCTTTTCCCCTTGGACCACTTCCCTATTGCAAGGGATCCATCTCCTTGTCTTCTATTATAAATTCGTTATTATTCTTTGCACAGTATTTTAAAGGCTCTCCAGTACTCTGTGCTATGTGTCTGGAGCTCCCCCTGCTGGTCCTAAATGCCCCTGCAGGAAGTTTGTGTCGGGCCGAGCACTAATGTGCGCTCACTAATGTGCCCTCACTGTGTCTCTCGCACAGAAGTACACGGCTCTTCTTTCTGGGGTGAGATGGCATCTCAGTGTTATTTTAATTTTCATTTCAAATGACCAATGATGTTGAACATTTTTTCATATATTTATTTGCCATTTGTATTTCTTCATCTGAGAAGTGTGTATTCATCTTAGATGCCTATTTTTGGATTAAGTGTTTGAATTTGGGAAACTGATTTTTTTCAATTCTTTACATGTTCCAGGTAGAGGTTCTTTGTCTGAGGGACAGGTGGATAAAATTTTTTCCCAATCTGTGGGTTTTTTTTCCACACTGTTGGAGATTTCTTTTGCTGTGCAAAAACTTCTTAATAAAATGAGATCCCAGTTGCTGATTCCCGCGCAGTTTGATTTCTGTTCATTAATTCCCTACCTACCCCTATGTCTTCAAGATTTCTACCTACTTTCTTCTCTAGTAGATTTAGTGTTTCTGCTTTAATATTTAGATCTTTGATCCATTTTGACTTTAGTGTATGGTGATATACATGGATCTAGTTTTAGTCTTTAGCATATGGAAAGCCAGTTTTTCCAGCACCATTTATTAAAGAGGTTCTTTCTTCCAGTGAACATGTTTGGCCCCTCTGTTAAAGATAGCATGGATGAGTGTGTTTGTAGTTGTACCTGCATCTTCTAATCTATTCCATTAATCCTCAGGTCTGTTTTTTTTTTTTTCCAGTACCATACTGATTTTATCACAGTAGCTTTGTAGTATAATTTCAAGTCAAGGATTCTGATGTCCCCTGACTTGCATTTGTTGCCCAAGATTACCTTTGCTATTATAGGTCTCTTCTGTTTCTAGATGAATTTTAGGAATGTTTTCTCTAGATCTCTGAGGCATACTAATGGTATTTTGATCAGGATTACATTAAATCCATATAACAATTTTGGAAATATGGCCACCTTCACAATGTTGGTTCTTCCTATTCTCAAGCAATCAACCAATAACAAATGCTGGCAGGGATGTGTGGAAAAAGAAACTCTTTTCCACTGTTGGTGGGAGTGCAGACTGGTGCAATCACTGTGGAACTCAGTGTGGAGATTCCTCAAAAACCTAGAATTAGAGGTCCCATTCAACTCAGCTATTCCTTTTCTGGATATTTTTCCAAAACAATTAAAAATATCATATTACATCAATATATGTGCACCCATATAGCATCACAATTTGTAATATCTAAATACTGGAAATAATCCAAATGTCCATAAACTGAGGAATTTGTTAAAAAAATGTGGTATTTTATACAACACAGTACTATTCAGCTATAAGAAAGATAAACTAGAGGATTTTATAGGTAAATGGATGTAGCTAGAGCCCATACACATCAATGAAATAAATTAGACTCCTATGTGTAAATGTCTTATTATCTCTCTAGTGTAAGAAAGTGAAAGACCAAATAAGATCCAAATTCTACAATAGATATTATGACAGGGAAAGAAATTGCCCAAAAGAAAGAACTGGGATGGGGGAAAGGAGAAAAGAAGGAAAGGAAAAGAAAAGAAAAAAATATATATGCAAGATAGCTAAGATAATTATACTACCAATTTTTATTAGTTCATTAAAGGGAATGGTTTGTGCTTGTATTGTTTGATCAATCTTGCATGCCTGTATCTTGTAATCTGAGCAACTACTTTAAAGATAACAATATGCAGTATATTAACCATTGCTAATTTCCTTTTATCTTGTTTTGAAATTCTGTTTCATCGTCTTTAAAATTAAAAAAAGAAGTACATTTCTGTGTCCTTGATTTTCAGGTTGCTCATTTGCTCATTTGTTCTTGCTGTTGTCTCTGGAGATGGTGAATTGGCCCTTCATTGAGTATATGTGGTATATGGTACCATCACCACTGATGTCTGAGGTTCACTCCAGCACCTTCTCTGGAGACTGGCAGGGCCAGCTCATCCAGTACTCACTGAAAGTGAATCCAGAGGCTGTGCAGGGGAGACTCAGGGACCACCCAGGCTGCACCAACCCTCCCCTAGACTCCAACAGCTGCATCTCAGTCTGTTCACCTGCTAACACAAACACATCCTGCTCAGAAAACTGTCACATGGGTCCACAGTTTATCCCACTCATGCCACTCATGCACTCAATATCTCTTGCTCCTATAAATTACCTCTCTAAACAGCTGGCAGGAAAAGCCACCTCAGAGCCAGCTCCATGGTAAGCCTTCTGTGCCCAATCTTGATCATTCAGTGGGAGCAGCTGGGCATTCAGGGATGGGCTCTTCGCCAAAGCTTCAGAGTCAGGGAGGGGCTGGTTTTCATCAACAGAGGGAGGCCCTATTTGCTTCCTGCTATATAGCTGGTTCTATTGCCTCAGAGAATGAAGGAACCAAAGCACATGACAGTGTTTTGAGAGGTATTTAGGAGTATTCCTAACACTGTAGAAAAATGTTTTTTTTTTTCTTGTGCTTCTATGTAGTGATAAATGCTTAACCTCATTTGTTTTTCTTATTATTACATATGAATGTAATTAATAGATTTGGTCATTTCATAAGTTTTCAGGTGAGAACATAGAGTGAGAAATGTAATAGACCTATGAGATACAAGCTCATATACTATAAAAACATTGTGTGTATGTTGTTCTACAATCCTTCCCACAGTTCTCATCACTGCCTGAGCAATTCCAAAATAGAGGGGTCATGCTTCCTAATATTTGCCAAAACTTTTCTTCTAATGAGAGAACATGACAGGATTTTTCTGCATTTCAATATTTTCATAAATAGACAAGTATTTTTTCAAGTGTATGTTCAAGAGTCTGACAGCTCCTTTTCTTATCTGTCTCTGCATTTATCTTTCCACTTTATATTATCTATTATATACCTCATGTATATTACTTTTAATGATGAATAAATGAGATATTTTAAACACAAATATACACGTGGTTAAATACTGAATAATCATCCTCTTGGTCCAGCTAGGTAATAGAGCAATACTCATAAATTTTCCTGTACTTTTCCAGGAAATCTTCATCCTATGTCTTCTTCTATTCTATCCTTTCCTAATTGAAACATTTATTCCTGCATGAAAATCCCTCCTCATGGTGACAAAATTAGCATAATAGTTTTTGATGACAAAGATTATCATGATAAATAAGTATTCCAAAGCATCTAAATTCTTACAATTCACAGTATTCTTTCTGGTGTATGCATGTTGTTATTATGTATATAAAGAAACTCACTTAGAAAGTCAGCATATTCCAAGGATCTTCATCTGGCCTCAGAATGATGTCCCTGTGTGTGTTACCAACAATATATAGCCATAACCTCAGCAGTCACTGTCCTCAGCTACAGGGAGACTGCTTATTGGACATTTCCTAAGATAGCGCTGTGCTTCTGGAAGGAAAAGTTATATTCTGAAATTCCAAGAAAAGGTATATTTTCATTCTATTGTCTTCTTCCCTGATGCATGAGGAAGTTGAAGACAGTGAGAACCTGAGGCCATGATGAACAATTCAAACAGTGTAAGAATAGTATAAGCTTCCAGAGATTTTGCAAACTGGTCCTGACTCCTATAGCTCTCCCTGGACAGGCATCTAGGAAGGAGATCATCATCATGAAATCACAGCTGCACATCCCTTTCCTAGTGTCCCTTAAATGCTCACTGCTGGCAGTGGCCACCTACTGTAGAACCCAATCATGTTTCTTATCCATTTGGGTGAGCCCCAG